GGGGGGGGGGGTTTCTTTTCTTAAAAAGTTAACTGTGGCTCCTCACCGGCTCTCAGTGTTAGGAGCCATGGTGACATCCTCCTGCAGAACTTTAACATGAAGAAAATCTGACGCAGTGAGAATTTACCGAAGTGTTCCTCCACTGTAGTTCATGGGGTGGATGTAAAACTATCTTTCCCAGAGTTCAAAGCGGGATGATGCCATGATCTCCCGCCCGTTGTGAAAACGTCCCAGCATGCATTTCTGCAGGGCCGAGTAGAAGAAGCGTCAAGATGGAGTCTGCAGGAGGCTGAAGCGACAGGAGCGCCTCGTTCCCAGCTCAACGTCCACTGAGAGCTCCATGTTCCCGCAGAGAGCAGCGGCACGGACCGAAGAGTGTGGCCGCTTCACGACCCACAGATAGCTGACTCTGCTGCGGACACTGTTGGTGAGTTTCGTGGCTGAAGCGCGTAAGTATTGTAATGACCGGGCCGCCATTTAACTCAGGCTGCCGAACACAACAGAATCGTCGCGGACACAGATTCGGTCCGTTCGCTACCACACTCCGCGCTTAAAGGTCGTGTCGCGGTCACAGTGTCGATCGGAACCGCGCCGTGCGGTTAAGCTGCCGATGGTTAACCTGCTAGCACTGTTAGCCACAAGCTAAACGCTGCAGCAGCGTCTTTAGAGACGTTAACGATTTAAATGAAACTCCGATGAACCTTCTCCAGCGCAGCCGGCGCTGCTCCGGTGGGTCCGCCGTGCAGTGCGGGCTCACAGCTGGCTGCTCTGGAGCCGTGTTCGCTCTCCGCTAGCGCCATGGAGCAGCGTTGAAACCTCGTGGTGTTGCTCTCCCGTCTCCCCGCAACGACACCGGAAAGTGCGGGGCTAACGGGGCGATGTGAGGGGCTCGACCGCTCTCACGTTCTCATCCAGGCAGACAGACAACGGGCCTGGCTCCAGGAGCACCGGACTGACTCCGTGCACCTGAAGTCTGGTGACAGAACCTGAGTCTGTGAAGGAGCAGAGGGGAAAGTGTAAATGTTGCATCCTCAAAGCCTCAGTGAGATCAGGACGTGTCACAGATTGTTTTCTGAGGAGGAGGCTCCATGTTCAGTCACCTGACCACAACACTGATCCTGTATCAGCAGCTTCAGCTAAAACATTGTGTTTGTAGCTGAAGGCAAGTGATGAAAGTCTGTGACGTCACTGTTTCTTCCCACAGATCAGAGCTGCTGTGAGTGTCTGAGTGATGTGTGCACAGAGATGCACTTTATGAATGTGTGTGTGAATGATTCAACTGCAAAGAGCAGAAAAGATCTTTATAAATACATTACCAGTCGTATTGGTACAAAATGATCCAGCTGAGGAAGTGTCAGGTTGTGAGGAGGTTAAAATGAAATAAATCTTCTCTGGGGAACTCATACTTCTCCTAGACTCTGTTGACCACTTCACATTTTACTAACGCAGGGTCAGTCTGTCTTAAAACTGATGCTGAATTTTGATTTAGGTGCAATGGTGAAAGTGTGCACAAGCTGCAGTGAACATTGGGTTTGAAGAATATGTTTTGTTATTCTGTTCATCATATAGAGTGATGATTATATGAACTCAGAGTGAGGCTAAGTCCACACTATGTTTTAGTCGAAAACTCATCTCCGTTGCTATTGGTGCTGCACAGTATACCAATACTAGAAAGTTTTCGCAGTAACTGTTCAGGAATCTTAACATACCTAATTTTATCGGTACTGTATGGATGATGCCCGGGGCTCAGCGGCTACTGAACGGCTGCGTGTTGCGGTTGAGGTTTACAGGTGTTAGAGAGAGACAAGTTCTTCACATTAACTTTTAATATAACTGCAGCCTTTCTGAGGTTTCTGGTACAACTGGCAGTACATCTTCCGCTCCTGCAAATATTTCACATTTAAAAACCTTTCAAAAACAAATGGATTCAGTCAACAGAAACGCTGGAGAGCTTTATTTTGAAATGGTGGGCTACAGAAAGTGTAAAAAACATAAATGTTCGTAACATGTCTGACAGATGAACATTGAAACTGTGCTGAAAGGTCATTTTCTGTGTCTGTTCAGCTGTGAACTGAGCAGAATGCGGAAAATATCAGCGAGACCCCGAATCTGTAGAAGAGCAGCGCGGCTTAATCGCAGTTTGTGTGGCAGCTCTAACCTGTTAACATAACCGTGGTAATGATTTATTTATTTTGTGAAAAACAGAGCTAACTTACCAATGTGACTAACATGCTAACGCAACGTTTAGTAAGGTTAACTTTATTTAAACCTGGACGTTAATACAATCAGGCATTCACAAGTCTGCAGATCAACAACTTACGATCAGTTAAATTTGAGTCAGTATTGGTAATCATCATGAACACGGCTCCAGACTGCGACCACTTAGTGGCATTTTGTGACTATTTCGGAGACAGAGCGGATAACTTTAATAACTAGGCACACCAGTGTAACTATGCAAATATGCCCCCCTTTAAAAAAAAATAAAAATCATCGTTTAGGCCATCATATTAAAATTGACGAAACCCAAACAGAATGTACTTAAAGTAACAAAAGTAAAAGTGCAGAATAACTAATTTCAGAATAATATACGACAAGATTCTCAGCACATCAGATTAAATCTGATGTCAGAGGCTCCCTGCATGTGGACACAGCGGAGGACCTGATTACAACCAGTCTCAAGGGAACTAGCTTGGAGGCTGAAGAGTTTGAGTCCACAAAACACTTCTGCAGTTTCAGGGGTGAACAGTATTTAAACCACATCCAACACAATTGAATTAACTAGTGACTGATTGTTCAAACAGAAAAAACATCACATGCCTCAATACTGCTCCTGTGGTGTCAAGTGTCCGTAAGCACAGACATTCAAATTCAACTTGAAACAAGGTCCTTTCACCAAGTTTTCAGCCTTAATGTTGTCTGATGGCCTCCTCAGAGGCGTGTTCACGTACACACGGGCACACCTGAAAACCGCAACACACTCACCTCAAGGGCACGCGCAGGTTGCACGTTCACATAGCTAAGTCCACTAGCATCGCTCCTTGCGGTATTGGATGATTAGGCTAAAAACCTGGTGTAAATGACGCTGTTTTGAGTTGAATTTGAATGTCGTGGCTTCCGGACACTTGTTTGAAGCCACATGAGCAGTATGGAGGCGTGCTATGCTTTTTCTGTTTTATTACGTCTGAAGAGGAGGTTGCCTTGGCTGAAACAGTTTACCCCTGAAAGTGTTTTGTGGACTTAAAACACTTTACACACGCCTCCATCTTTAGTTCACCATTTTTTTGGTAAACTATCCCTTTCAAGTTCACCCGGATCTTGCTTCGTAGTACAGGCCCCAGGTCTCTGTCTTTTTCTTGTGGTTATGTATGAATTTTTCAGTTAATAGTTTATTATTAGGTGAACCCATTTGAAAAATTAATGAATAACCAACATCACATAATGTTTTTATTGTACTGTTATTACACTTATATATGTATATTAAAATACATCCATATTAAACACAAAAAAGTATCTAGTACTTCTACTTATTGCACATGTCTGTACTGGTGGAACACAAGAATTTCCCCTCGGGGATGAATGAAGTATGTCTATCTATCTATCGTCATTGCTGACACTTTATTTTAAGGGAACTTTAATAATACTGTAAAGATTTCAGCCTGATATGGATTTTCTGTGACCAATATCCAGATAACTAGTCAATGATTACTAAGATGTCGTCATTTCCCTATGTATATTTTACTTCAACCATAAATCGTATTACAAATAACTATAGATAAAAAGAAAACACAAGTACAACTAAATATATGAAACATATTTTCTGCATTGCTGTGTAAAATCAATTTTTAATCAGCAAACACTGATGCTGATTAAAGGTCCAGTGTGTACAACTTAGTGACATCTAGTGTTGAAGTGTCATGTTGCAGCTGAACACCCCTCCCCTCCCCCTCTCCTTCCAAACATGAAGAACCTGTGGCACCTTCAGTCGTCATAAAAACTCAAAAGGTTTTTAGTTTGTCCAGTCTGGATTAATGAAAGAAACATGGCGGCCTCCGTAGAGAGGGTCCCCTCGGTGCAAATATAAAGTATTTAAATATAAAGGGCCTTTTCTAGGGTAAAGAAAACTACGATTTGTACAATTTAGACCAAATGAACTAGTGAAAACATCATGAGGATTATTCTACATTAAATTTCTGCCAATATTTCCCTTTCACCTGAATCTTACACACTGGACCTGATAGCTGACAGAACTCATAAATCTGTCGAGTTGTAGCAACAAAAACAGTCACTGTTTTTTCTATTGAGATTGAATCAACAATCATTTCATTAATATTATTGAAGCCACTGCTTTTCTCACCTTCTCCTTTATGTTCATTTGTTTAATCACTTTCTACACATCCTCTGTTGTGATGCTTGTGGTCGGTATGTGAGCTTCGGTCACTTAGCATGACTGTTTGTCATTCCCAGCTTCATGTTTGACCATGACCCTAACAGCTGTAAATAGTTCATGTTTGATACTGTAATGTAATAGAGGTTGGTGATGACAGTGAGTTTGGTTTCCTGGTTCCTGTTCTCTGACTAACAAAGATTGTTGAGTGAACAGATTGATGGTTCAGAACAGACTGAATCACTCTGTCTCATCTCTGGGTTTGTTGTTCAGCAGAGAAATGATCAGAGTTCTGGATCAGTTTGTTTCACCCATTTCTTTCATTGTCACATCAATCAATAATGTTTCAGATCAGGCTTCAATAATGTTGATGAACTGAATCTTTATGTATAACCTCAGTCTCTGACAAATGTATTGACCTTCAGCTCTAACCACCGGGTCTCGCCACCTGCAGGTTTAGTCTGTCACCATGGCGACAGACATTGGCTCACCGCAGCGGTTCTTCCACATGCCGCGTTTCCAGCATCAGGCGCCACGGCAGGTTTTCTACAAGAGGCCGGACTTTGCTCAGCAGCAGGCGATGCAGCAGCTCACCTTCGATGGGAAACGCATGAGGAAAGCGGTGAACCGCAAAACCATCGACTACAACCCGTCTGTCATCAGATACCTGGAGGTGACTCACCTGTAAAACTTTATTTAAACAGGAAACTCGTGTTTTAACGTTGGATGTTGCAAATGTATATTGATTCTATTAAACTTTATTAGTATGTCATCAGGTGGAGACATTACAACAGAAACACTTTTAACTGCTTTTCTACTGGTGGATACGGTCAATGATTAATTGACTTGCTATTGTCCATCACCAGCTGCTTTAGTTTCACATGTGTATGACGTGTGTATAGCGTGTTTACATGTGAATGTTTAGAAGCTGACCAATCACAAGCTGTGTTCTTAATCTGTGTTTGAGTGACTTTCTGTGTTTCTCTGCGCAGAACCGTTTGTGGCAGAGAGACCATCGAGACTTCAGAGCCATCCAGCCCGACGCAGGATGTTATAACGACGTCAGTATAACAAAACTGTTATGTGGAGTTAAGCTGGGCATACACTGAACCATTTAAGACAGACTCTTTTTAGAGTTGAATGATTTTCAGCTTCTTCATTTGCCGTGCTGTGTACTGGGGGAACGAGCAATGATGAATTGCTCCCGACGTCAGGCTGACTTCAGCCATGAGTCCATTCCTCAAACTCTTTACGTGAACAAAGTGGCAAACACTATAAAGTGAAGTGAAGAGACCTCAGAGATGAGAGATGAAACGTTTCACTGAATCACATAATGTGACATCTATGTTGAGCTTTAGTTTATCGTCGTGTGCCATGGTGCACCTTGCAAAGCACATTTAATGTTCAGTGTGCAGGGAGCCTGGCTGCACTAAGGCAAACTGGTGACCGGCAGCACCTGTCACTTCTGGAAACATCGAGAGATTGAGATGCTATTTACATTTTTCCACAAATGGCACTAGAAGGGCTCCATAGCTGTTTGGAAGGGCATTTTATACAGACCGTGTGAGCAGCGAGTGAATGCCACTGTTTTCCTGTTACCAACATAACTGTTCAGACATGTCTTTTTTTAATTAATTGTGATTCCCACTGAACTCAGATTCAGAAGATGAACATCAGCTGATTCTCACACAGACCAACCAGATGAATTTAAATAT